ATAAATCATGATACAACAATCCTTATATCAGAGAAATCAGCTCAGATCAATACGGGCGGTAGTCTTAGAAATACCTTAATCAACGCTATCCAATGGTTATATGGTTGATTTTGTTCTTTCACTGAGAATGGTGGGTAGGTTCCCATGTTGGGCGATGCGTGAGAAGTTGATGCTTTTTCATTACATACCTTTGTATGATTAACAGTAGATGGTGTAAACCCTTTTGTGACGAGAACGCACTTCTCTGCTACTGGGATTGGTGAACCACATAAGCCTTCACTATGTTAAGTGTGGAATTCAGTCGACTGACAGCGAAGTTGCCTACCACCAAAGTGGTGTGGCAGTGGCGAGGTTCGAGCCTCGGACTCTAGAGTACAAAATGCGCCGGTGACAGCAACTCAAAACGATTTACCATCAACTTTATAGGAACAAACCCGGTATCTGCGCAAGCTTGAGGTTCTTTCAATTCGATGAGATTGTATAAAATTTCTTGTAGCAGATTACTCTAGCAGTGTGACGCTCTCATCGGGGAAAGTGGGTGGAGTTCAGCCTGAACTCTGGGGTTCTTCAAAGTTGCCTACTTCGGAAGATGCGTTGCACAATCGACTGGCTAATATGAAATGTAGTCAACAACCCTCCACGAATACAATTCCATTCAGTTCCGACATCTTTGTTTGAAATGACCAAACCGGTCATCGATCGCATCATTTGTCTTGCTGAAATCATTGGACTCGAGATTACCACATCGAAATCTTCAGTTTTTCGACAGTAATACATCCTTAAACCGATCCCATCCAGGTCGATGGCGAACTAATAGCGAGAGTGCGGACATTCAAATATACTGCTTCAGTGATTAAATCTGACCACTAAATCAAGGTGACATGACATTAATAGTCGATAGAACACGCAGTATATTTCTACAATCACATAAGATACTATAGAATCAAAATAAGACTAACTTGCTTATTAGGAAACGATTTCTCCAAGCTCTTTTGCGTGTCCCGTTCTCGCACATTGCCATGGCGTACCTGTAATATGCGGAAGTCTTCAATCATTGATGCCTCCGATTCATCCTGAACTTACAGTGGTAAGAACGGGTTTCTAATGCAAAAG